CATCAGGTCGAATGTGGAAGTTAACATATTCGGAAGGTGGGTAGATGATTGGAGGTTGCATTGATGCGTTCCCTGGATTCACATAATCACCTACTAATATTCTGCGCTCATTGGCGATAGGTCTCTATTGATCTGGTGATGGTTGTTGAATTGTATCCGAGATTTGATTCTAATTTTCAGTCATTACCCTTGCTTCTCTTTGTTCTCTTCTTTACTATTTAGATGTTCATTCGGTCTCGAGATCTAATAGTATGAGCTCGATTTCTTCAAAATTTTGCATAAACTATTGACAACTGAAAGAAGCAAAACAAAAGGAACTTATGTAGTATAATGAATAGCTTAAAACAAAATCTAATATAAACTAACAAACTAGAATTAAAATCGTTATTCTCCGACAACGGCTCTAAAAACTTGTTCAAAAAAATTCCACAAGAACGGGACCGTTGACAAGTAATAATGTAGTGAGTTGAGTTATCGTCCCACGAGAAATAATTGTTAAATATAGCATACTAGTTTCTATCAAATTCAAAGCTTGTAACACAAAAGAGGCAGTTTGTTTGTATTTATTTTTAAATTATACTATGTAAGTTATAAAGATGGGATTTTTTTTTTTTATCAAATATGAGATGAATGTATTGGATTTCCAACTCCTCCTATTGATATTTAATTCTAATTCTTGACTTGTGTTAATTAGTGTGATTAACGTATTTGTGATGATCGATAATCAATTAATATTTAATATTCTTTTCCAAAATATACCAAACTTATACTAAAAACAACCTGATCATATTCATAGTCCAGATCTTGCATGCAATCATAGGATTACCACACGTGACCGCAAACGCCATAAATATTATTTTAAACATATATTGGCCATATTAAATATAGTGTTCTACTTATTGTGGATTTTTTCAACACTACAAATGAGCAATTTAGTTGTCTAAATGGTGCATAAATATTCAAACAAACATAGTTAATGCATATCAAACCACAAACACGAGAATTAACTAAAAAATGATAGGACTTGAATTTAAAACTAAAAATCAATAGGTTTTGTCATCCATCCAATACATAAATTTATTTAGCCTAGCATTGCCATATGAAAATTACACAAAAGAATAAGAAAAGACATCATCCAAGATAAGGAACACGAAGAAGAACTTGAAAACTCCAATTCTTCACTTTAATCTTCAACCCAAACGATGAATTCTTAATTCTTCAATGTAATAATCCTTCTTGCGCTCTCAAATAATAATAAAAAGATAGTTCCCATGTTCTAGACAACCTATGGTATATATGGAGTGATAAAATATTACATACCAAAACAAGTTGGGAGAAAATAAGGGGAAAAAAATTCCTTAAGAAATGAACCATATGTACGCATGGTTCAATTTGAGTGTACACATAGCATTCAATTTAGTCACGGTCAACCCAAATAAGGTTTGAGCGTACGCATGCGCAGGCCATGCATACGCATGGTATTACAATTTTGGGACCAATTTGCATATTGGTCCTGAACTTTTTCGTGGTGTGTTTTGATCCGTTTCGACAATTTTTCATCCCATTGGCTTTTTCTTTACCTTTAATTGACCTTTACATTCTTGAATCGTAATCTTGCAATTTGGCACAACTTTTGAATTATTACACTTTAGTCTTTGAACTTTGGTTTTGATACAATTTAGCCATTTTTTCACTTGTTTTCCTCACTTCCGCCTCTTTCATCGATTGTTACCTAACAAGCCATTTTTCATATAATTCATTAATAAATAATCTAATTTAACGACTTAAATAATAAAATGCACTTATCAAAGCAGCTTCCTCAAGAACTCTTATACAAGAAACAAAACCCCCAACATGGGCTATTAAACCAACTTCCTCTAAAAGTTATTCCAATTAAACACAATACTTCAAAAAAATTATTATTTATATATTCATAAGTAACTTCTTAACCTAAGTAGCAACTTTTGGCTTTCTAAAAGCCTAGTCTAATGGATCTAAATAAGGGCTGATCATTGTAAAATGAAAAATGTGTGGTGCAATTTGACATAAATTTGACAATTGGAGGGCCAATCTTAGAAAAAAAACATATCAATGTCAAAAGGAAAAAATCAAGATAATTAAATCATTGCTCATCAAACTTTACCTTATGTTACCACTTGTTCATCCAACTTAAAAGGGTTACTCATTGCTCACTTATCTTTCCAAACATTTACCCATCGATCACTCTTTTAATCCTTTACCCATGATTAACGGAAATTGCCACATATACAACGGAAAGCTGATTTGTTATATTTTGTCCATTAATTTGTCCACCTTTATAGAACAGGCTTGCTTTCTCTGAACCCTTGGAATCAAAATCCCTAAATTGTAAGAAGAAGAACCTTAATCCAGAAGCAGAAAAAGAATATGCAAATGTCGTACTACAAATTTTGAACTTCAGAAAGGTACCATTGAGACCCAGAAGAATGTATTGGAGAGATGTGTTGCAGAAGAACCAAAGCATGGTGAAAAATGGAAAGCAATATCAAAGGCCGTGGAGAATTTTCCCTAGCCAACAGAAGCCATCTTGATGAAAGTGGTAGTTGAACTTGAAAAGGAAGAGAACACTGCTGAGAACAAGAAGAACTAGTTTTCTTTAATTTCAATTTATCACTTTCCTGGTTTTTGGTTCTTGGTAACGGTAGAAAGATACGTGACTGCATTCAATCTTTGTAACCAGTATTGACCATCCAATATGTAACTGCATTCTGCTATCTCCAAATGTGGGAAAAGGAAATATCAATCTTCTTGGTAACGTTTCATGCTTCTCCCATAAAAGTACGTCTCATTATCAGATCAAAAAAGAACTTCAAATGCAAGCATCTCATAATTGTTGAAGCTTTGCTGATCTTGGACAGGTAATGAGTAGTGGTCTAAGGAAATGGTAGTTGCTGATGCTCTAGTAGTGGGGAAAAAAACATTTTATCCAAATTTGTCGCCGGAGATAGCAATATGATGATGATCTGAAAAACTAGACTGCACAGACAAGTACAAAGTAAATAAGCCCTTGTTTGAGCCCTTTCTTTGGAAAAAAAAAAAAAATGCATTGTTAAACAGTATCTTAATGTTATTTTAACCACATATTTTTTGATAAAATAATATTACACACAAATTTAAAACATTTTCTTATTTTTTAATCACACATCTCTCATTAATACACTATTCAAAAATACATCCCCAAAATGGGGTTCAAACAAAGGCTAAATATTAGCTTAGATAACCATCCACAAGACACCGAGATTCTATAATAATTTGCAAGCAAATTTTATTCAGCCTCAGATGGAACTGAATTGCTGCTTGGATATATAACTATATATACCCATACAATTATTTAAACTCAGGTATTGGATTATATTTGTTTGATTGACTGGAATGGCTAATTCCCCACATTGACTATCTTGGCCATAAATTTTGAATTTCGCAGGGAAGGGCGATAGGGAAAAATTATGGAAGTGAACCTGTTGGCAAACTGGAAGTTGCAGATGGAGAGCCCCTTCAACGAGGTTCCTGCACGGCTACTGCAGGCTGCAGCATCATCAGGATTCACTAATTCAGCTCGCTGCTGTTCACGAACCTCAAATCTCGAATGCTATAAAATCTTCCTCTTCCCTCTCCTCCTTCTGGATTAAAGTTTATCTTTGTACAATTTGGAATTTCAATTTCGGGCGATTTTTGTGTTTACAGTTTAGGGACTTTGATTTGGAGGCTGCTACAATGCCACAATATTTTTTTACAAAACCTTCACAGGCTTCACACAATGAAGTGGGTCGACATTTTTTTTGGCAATTTTCTATTACATGGGGTCCGGCATAGGACTATCTCCCATTTGAGTGACCTGTGAACCCTGTGATAACCCACCCTATACGTCTAGATTTATCTTTTGATTTTAAGGATTTAAGAAAGCAAGTGTGTTCTTGCGGACATGTGGACAAATCAATGGACAAAATATGACAAAACAGTTTTTTGTCGTTTATGTGGCAATTTCGTTAATTGTGGATAACCGATTTGAAGAGAGTGATGGATGGATAAACATTTGGAAAGATGAGTGAGAAATAAGTAGCCTTTTTTAGTTGGATGAGCAAGTGGAAATCGGTAAATGAAGATAAAATTTGGTGAACAATGATTTAGGCTTTGTTTGTCACTCATAATTTGAAATTAAACAGTTTTAAAGAGTATTTTTTAGAGAATGTGATATTAAAAAGAGGTATTTTCAAAGATGTCTAATTTTATGTGTGTCAATTAAAAAATATCCACTTTTTAAATTTAGCACTAAATTGTCTATTATACCCTTTATGAAAAAAGAAGCAATTTATTTATTTTTTCAATTTGTTGCGGATTTCGATAAGTAGCTTCCATGAGAAGATACATTAAAATGATATTCTCGACATTTTAAATGTCATTCTCGATATTTGAATCTCGTTTATATTTTAAAAGTACACATATCAAATTACAATATTAAATGTTCTCGACATTTCAAACGTTGTTCTCAATATCTTAAACTCTAGAATGATATTTCATTCCGAATATGATAATTCTCTCCATTTGAAATGCAATTCTCGACGTTTCTATGTCAATGAAAAAATAGCATTAATTGTTATTTGACATGTACACTTTTAAAATAAATATGGCAGATTATGTGTTAAATATTTATTGGCCAATAAAATTTTTTCAAAAATGTTCATTTCTTGTCTTTGTATGGAATCATAAATTGTTCACAGGGGTATTTTGGTCCAAAATATTTCAAAATAGACACTTTTGCAAGGATTTGTGAAAGTTGACATTTTTTCAAATGGATATGTGAAAGTGGACATTTTAAGCAATTTCCTCTATTAAAAAATAAGGAAATTTTATTGATTTGTATGTTGAATATTTTATTATGTGAATGTATGGTTGAAAATAATATTGTAGCAAATAATTTAAAATTTTGGAGGTTGTCAAATATGGGCTTAATCATATAGGAAAAAATAAAATCAAATTGCGAACGGATAAAGTGATAAACCGGCCATTTTCCAACTCCCACACTCCCATCTCAAAACCCCCAAATTCCTGGAGCTTTTGGCGATAATGGCTTCCACATCCTCATCATCATCTCTATTATTCACAAGCTTTTTGCAAAAACCCACAAATACCTCGACGACCCACCTCTCGGAACTCAATTTCCGGTCCCTCAAACAACAAATTATCTCTTTAAAGTTCACTCGCAAATTGCCTGTTGCCTTGAATCCCAGAAGACTCAATGCAGTGGCCGAGGACACTTCAGTATCTACTACAGACCCGTCAATCGAGTCCGCAAGAAGACTGTATGTGGGCAACATTCCGCGGACCGTTAAGAATGATGAGCTCCGGAAAATTGTTGAAGAGCATGGAGCTGTTGAAAAGGCCGAGGTCTTAAATGGCTCTTTATTTATTTTTCAGCTTTATTTTTTGGCTAAATTGATATTATTGTCTTCTCAATTGAATTACAGAGATGGTTGATTGTTTGGAGAGTCATTTATGATGTTAATTTGTCATTTTTAGAGGAAGAAAATTGAATAGAAATTATAGGATTTGCATGAATTAAACATTGTTTGTGAAGTTTGAGGTTAAAGAACTATACAAATGACTGTTCTGGGAATATCAGACAGCGACGCCAAAATTAGTCTCTTCTCAAGCTAGACATGATTAAGTTGGTAGAATGATGAATACAGCAAATTCAAATTAAAGTTTCCCAATAAGGCTAAAACTAGGGATTATATAACTATAGATTGTGCACATTACATTAAAACTTATTCCCATGGATAAAGAAAAACCTTTTCAACCTCAAAAACAACAAAGAGGTTAATTGGGTACCAGATAACAAAAGATATGTACATAAGAAGTCTGATTATACTTTTGCTTAATGGGATATTTTTGTTAAAGACAGTATGTTCCAGGTCACTGAAAACGGTTATACACATGAATGCCTTTTCATTATGATGTATGGCAATTGATGCTAACTTATAAGTAAGATGGGGCGTGATATAACATCCTGGAAATCAAATGCTATTAAGACAATATAGTAAATTAGTACCATACTAATTCTGATGTCTACTCCATACAAGAGTTTTTATTAAGCTAAGAATTCAAAGTTACAAACTGCCTGATAGAAACTCGCAGAATACTCAAGAAATGGATAAACATAACGTGAAGATCCCCTATTTTTGTGTTGGAAGACTAGGAAGATGTGGGACTTCAATAAATATATTATATTGCAGAATAACATGAAATTTACCATGCTATGTTGATAGGTAATGTATGATAAGTACTCTGGAAGGAGTAGACGGTTTGCTTTTGTAACAATGAAGACTGCTGAGGATGCAAATGCTGCTATTGAAAAGCTAAATGGCACAGTAAGCTTGTTTTTAGAGTGTTAGATAATAATGATCTTTTAGTTTTACAATCAAGTTGTTGGAAAGTATTGATTGGCTTGCTGTTCATGAAGGAAATTGGAGGACGGTCAATCAAAGTTAATATAACGGAAAAACCATTGCAATCTATGGATTTGCCAGTTCTTCAGTCACAAGAATCCCAATTTGTTGACAGTCCCTACAAAGTTTACGTGGGCAATCTTGCAAAGACTGTAACCACAGACTCACTCAAAAACTTTTTTTCAGGGAAAGGGAACGTTCTCAGTGCAAAGGTATCCCGAGTTCCAGGAACCTCAAAATCCAGTGGTTATGGATTTGTTAGTTTCTCTTCTGAAGAGGACGTGGACACAGCCATATCATCTCTTAATAATGCGGTAAGTTTGCTACACGTAGTGTCTGAATGAAATTTTGACATTCCAGTATCTGTGCAGACGCAACACTGATGTAGGAGTTTTATTAGCTTTTTATCCTACTCATTTGAGCATGCACATCAATTTTTTTTCAACATCTACTTTCATGGGGAACTGAAAACTGAAAATGGAATAGCAAAAAGATGTAACATGCTTTGATTGTTATTGCATACTTACACTGAGTTCTCGAATTTTTCAATTTACGAATTTTCTTTAAAATTGTTTTCTTTTTTTTTTTTCTTTTTTTTTTTCCATACCCCTCTAATTTATTTATTTATTTTTTTTTTATTTTGGGGACTTATATTACATTGTCATAGTTATAGATACGGGCCTTTTCCACAAAAAAAGGGAATCTTGTGTTACAATAGTGTGCTTTATAGTTGATGCCTTTTTTGGTCAATTGATAATGTTGTATATGATTTCTTATGTGCATGTCTTCGTGCCACTGTGATTGTGACTCATTACAGTGATGTTCACATCCATTTCTTGGTACTTCACGGAATAATTCTCTACATTCTCTTACTATACCTTACGACCGAGTGTAAATTAACAAAGTAACTCTTTACATACCCCAATATTTTACCATGTAATTTATAAAGCTGTTTCTCCCTTGCAAACTGAAAAAAAATAAATAAATAAAATAAAACCTAGCAAGGAATAAATAAAAAAGATGAGGAATAAAAATTAAAGAAGACACAATTATATAACTTGGTTTTTCTATTGTCTTCATCCACTGAGAGAAGTGAGAAAATTCACTATGAGTCCACAATCCAACTCTACAAGAGGGTATATGCATTAATTATGATCACTCACCTGTATTATGATCTATCTCCTGCGAACTCTAAATAATTGTGAATGTTGACCAATCAACCAGAACTAGAGAAGAGGCAATGAATGGGTAACAATTATATCCACTTCTCTCCATAAAAAATTCCAAAATTCCCCTCAAGTTAGGCATGAAGGACAACCATTAAGAATGGAAATTCTCATGAACTATGACTGATCTCATAAATTATAAACAATCTCTCCCCAACTCTTAAAAAAAACTTTATAAGTTGATAGATCAACAGAACAAGGAAAGAGGCAGTAAATGTGGTAAGAAGATCCCAACTTGTCTCTATCAATGAGTCCAACGCTGCCACTCAACCTACTTGTAATGCAAATGGAACTTCCCTGAGATTTGGAAAGTATATTCGTAATTTGCAGATGAGAGGGTAAGAAGAGAGTGGAAATCTGTAGGGATTGGTTACTTCTCTCAAAAAGGATGACAATTCAGTTTGATATTTTTAGTCCTCTCTTGAAAAATTAGATTTGCTACTAGATGTAAAGTTTTGGGTTATAAAAATATTTGCTGCAAGTTTAAAATGTAAATTTTGAAGGAGACATCTCCATCAAGTTAACTCACATGTAATAGCTGCCGTAAGCATGAAGTATCTTGCTTCTTACTCTTCAATGTAAGTGATTTTCCGAGAAACAATATATAGTGAGTAACATTTCAGCAATTGATCGAACAACCCGGTCTGTGCAACAATATCCAATCAGTTTCAAGTCATCTTGAGTTGGAAAGAAGTAATCCTTGACTAATTGTTCCTTTAAGATAGTGTAGAACTTGTAAGAGTTGCTTGTGTGTGATTGCTTCATAAATTGACTGAGAATGTGCTCTGAGTGTGAGATTTCATTTAATGCTAAGATAAATGAGACATGCCCTCATAATCCTTCTGTAATCGGAATTAAGAACACATCCTCTTAGGAGTCTGAGTATCCTGTTACTTTGGAAAAATGGCATCTCTAGGGAAGCCCATACAATCCATGATGTTAGGAGAGCCCAAACGGAGGAGGCTAGAAGATCTTGATAGAGATCTACACTGTTCTGAATAGTGAGACTTTTCAAAACTCGATCAAAGCGATCGAGAATCTCATCATCTCTTTGGTGGGCCAACCGACTGAGTTGGGCTGGAAGTGTATTTTGTTGATAGAAGGTATTCCTTGTTTAGATCAATATCCAAAAAGTAATTCAACTTTCCAATATCTTTAATTCTAAACTAACTGTTAAGGAAAAAATTCTTGTTAATCTTTGGTAAACTGAGCATCACCGGTTATACTATATTATCATTATAATATCATATTGTCAACATAAATTAGAAGAATATTAAAGGAATTTCCATATACTGTGTGAATAAACTGTAATCAGCCTCAGATTACTGATAATCAAACTTCTGAAAGGCTGTAAGAACCATTTGTCCAAGACTTGTTTTAGGCCAATGTAATAACTTGTTGAATCTACATTAAATTCTCTCTTTGTTACCTCTATCTTCGAGATTGAGTCATGTGGGCTTCTTCGTCAAGATCACAAGGAAGAAATGCATTGTGACATCTAATTATTGAGGTTGTCAGTTACAAGTAGCTGTAGTGTGATAGTGAGGAGACCCTTGGAGGAGTAGTTGGGAGTGGTGGGTTGGTGGTGATGGATGATCAGTAAATTGAGTTTTGTCTAATAAAGGTCAAATTGTTATGTAATTGTGTTTAGAGTTCATTTAGAACTCCACACACACAAAAGAAATAAAAATGAGTGAATGAATATATATATAAACTATGATGTTACATGTTCAAAGGAAAGTAACAGAACTGAAGTATGCCATTGAAATCTTGAAATGGGTCGTATCCTTTAGAACTCAACAAAATAATATTTCATTCCTTTTGAGTATAAATGGTTTGGTTGTACTACATGTACATCACTACTTCGAGATTGGTTTACAAATACATAATGTGATAAAATATGATTGAATTAAAATCTCTTCAACCAAGTTAAAAATAAAAAATAAAAATTCCTTACTTTATTTTTGACACCTCGTCAATCTGTAATACTTTTTGTAATTTCTTATATACAAGTAGCATTATTCTAAATGGTTTAGTTGTGCGGACATTTATTTTGCCTCATGTTACTTGTGCATTGCAGGTGCTTGAAGGGCAGAAGATTCGGGTCAATAAAGCCTAGAATTAGAAAAGAGAGGCTCAAGGGCAATATTTTTGTTTCATGTTTAGATCTTTTAATCTCGAATGTAATTTGGATTTCGCGCATGCCACTAATGTCTACCATGGTCCGAGTTTAATTTGAATAAAAACAAGAGCAAATTCGGAATCACTAATCACTTATCTTAATATAATGGAAAATCAGGTGTTATCAAAATAATTCTCGGTACGTATTTTCACGAGTTACTACTATGCATAGTCTAAGGGTTATAGTAGTCATCTTATATGGCATGACATTAATAAAGTTATTCATCTTTTAAATTAGTAAAATTTTGTCATGTAGGATGAATACTGTAGCATTATTGATTTTCGTGCCATTAAGAGACATAATTTTAATAATTTAAAAGAGAAATAAATTTTAATAATCTTATTTTATGTATGATGACTATTGCAGTCATTGTCTATGAGTAACATTATTCATAAAGAATACATTAAATGAAATCCATAAAATAAAAGAAAATGCAGTTTTCCAAGCATAAAACATTATCTCATTCAAGAAGAAAACATCAAGACGTAATCTTTTCTAGAGGAAAATTAGCACAAAACGTCCCTACCTTTCATTTTTTGGCACTTTTATCGTTATCTTCACATTTTATTGCAAAAATCATCATGTTCATCAAATTTCTAGTGTAAATAACAAAATTCCCCCTATTTAAATAAAACAATAAAAAAGAAAAGAATAGTTAAAGAATAAATTTCAATCATATTCTCAAGCTTTTTTAAAAAGTACTAATGAGTCTAAATTAATTATTAAAAGAGTAATTAGTACAAAATGTTCATACCTTTCATTATCATTGTATAAAATGTCCATACCTTTCATTTTTTTTTCACATTTTCACCGTTATTTTATATTTCTTTACTAAAATCATTATTTTCATCCATTTTTTCAATTAAAAGCTGTAAAATGACAAATATGCACTCGTCTTAAAATAAACAAAAATAAAAAATAAAGAAGAATAAAGAACAAAGAACAAATTGCAACTACATCTCCAAAATTTTCCAAAAATTACAAATAAATTTCAAATAAATAATTTAAAAATAAAGTACATTTTTTTAATTATTTATTTAAAATTTATTTTTCTAAAAAATTTGGGAGTATAGATGCTATTTGTTCTTTATTTTTCTTTATTTAAAGAAGATGGTAAAATTTTACAGCTTTTAATTGAGAAAATTGATGAAAATAATGATTTTTGCAATGAAATATAAAAATAAGAGTGAAAATGTCAAAATGAAAAGTATGGACGTTTTACACAATAATGATGAAATGTAGGGACGTTTTGTTCTAATTATCCTTTTAATAATTTATTTGAACTCAATTGCACTTTTTTAAAAAGTTTGGGAGTATGATTACAATTTATTCTTTAACTTTTCTTTTCTTTTTTATTGTTTTATTTAAATAGGGGATTTATTTGTCATTTTACACAAGAAATTTGATCAAAATGATGATTTCCGCAATAAAATGTGAAGGTAACGGTAAAAATGTCAAAAAATGAAAAGTATCGACGTTTTGCACAATAACATTGCAAAGTAAAAACATTTTGTGCTAATAACCACTTTTTAAATATACTGTATTGTGCATGCAAAATATAAGAGTTAAGGTTACATGCTTTGTTTACAAGTCACAAGTCACAGTTACCCCTTCTTTTTTTTTTTTGGTTGAGAAATTTGCACTCCACGTCAATTTTTGCCTTCACATTTTCAAAAAATGTCATTTTTTCAAAATCTTTGCAAAAACTATCATTTTTGGACATTTTTGTCTCTCTAGAGAATTTAAATACCTTACACGTTCTTGTGTTAACAACATGAAAAAGTCATACAAAAGTGGAAAAAAATGTGACAACCAATCAACTCACAACAATACTTGAAAGTTTTGATAAAAATAATAATAATAATAATAATAATAATAAAAGAGAAAAAATGTTGAAAACCCTAAAATCAAACCCAGTTTCTCTCTCTTATTCAACATCTCCCCTAAACCCTAAATTCATGCTCTTTTCTCTCTCATTCTAAATCTAAATAGCCAACCAGTGTCATAGATGAATACCTTCATTTTTCAGCCATTTTGACGTTTAAATGTGGGTCAAAATGCTTGATGAATATTTCTCACGCAACCACACTGAACTGAAATATCCAGTTGCTGAACGAATACCTCCATTTCCGGCCATTTTGACGCTTAAACATGGGTCGAAAAGCTTGATAAATATTTCTCATGCCGTCACGCTGAACTCAAATATTCCGTTCGATTCAAATAATTTTGCTTAGGGTTTTGGATCAAATCTCCCTTTTAGGTTTTTACACTGAATAATTTTCAAGGGAGGTGCTCATCTTATCTTGATTCCTATATTTGTGTATCATGTGTTTTAGTTTTTCTATTGTTACGTTTAGATCCTTGGACCACCCAATAAAAGGGTTAATTATATGAATGGTCACTGAACTTTGCCCTATATTACTATTTAGTCACTGAACTTAAATATATACCTCAATGGTCACTGAACTTTATCAAGTGTTACTACTTCATAATCGAACTTTAAAATGTAATGAAATGGTCACCGATCTTTACACTGTGTTACCCTTCTGTAGCTCAAATGGAAAAATCTGTTAAGTGACACTTGGCGAAGCTCAGTAACCACCGAATTACATTTTTAAGTTCGGTGACTAAGTAGTAACATAGGGCAAAGTTCAATGACCATTAATATATATTTTTAAATTGAATTATTAAACTTTTGTTTGAGTCTCATTCTTTCAAAATAATAATAATAATAATTCTTAAACAGTGATTTGGTATCATTCAACCACACATTTTTCAATAAAATAATATTACAAGTAAATCTAAAAAATTTTCTTATTTTTTAACTACACATTTTCCATCAATATACTATTCAAAAATTCATTTTATCTCTCAAAATGGGGATCAAAAAAGGGCTAAATTTCTCAAATCGACTTCTATGAAATAAGAAATCAAAGAAAATGAAGGGAAAAAGGAGGAAACAGAAAATCAGAGACCTTTAAATTAAATAAAAATAGAATTATTGCTAATATTTGTCCATGACAGTGAAAAAGTACGTTTGATTTTTAGATCAACTGGTATCAATTCACTGTATTTCAAACTCCGCATAAATAGATTGAAAGAGAAACAGTTGGAACACTAAAAGAAATTGACAAAGAAAAATTAAATAAAAGTACAAAAATTTTCAAATAGTGCCAATGTAACTGAGGTCGATTTGATTTTTCAACTATGTTACTATTTAGTCACTGAACTTAAAAATGTAACTCAATGATCACTGAACTTCGTCAATTGTTACTACTCAATAACCAAACTTTAAAATATTTCTCAATGATCACCGAATTTTGCACCGTGTTACCCATCCGTCATTCAAGTTGACGCTGTTTGTTGGACTTAACGAATTTTTCCATTTGAGTGACGGATGGGTAACACGGTACAAATAGGCACTTTTAATTTTCAATACTTCGTACATAACACAAACAAATATAACTATCTTTTAAGCAAACTGTTTAATTTGTCAAAATAAAAGTCTTGACAATTATGAATTCTTAACAGATGACTAATTATCGACAGATGAACTATGTGACTCATCTATCGAGATGAACTATCGTTCTCGACAGTTAGTGTCGGTTATTCTCGACGACTAAATATCTACAAATTATTCGAGTCATTTGTCGATATGAACTATCGTTCTTGACAGTTAAAGTCAATATTTCTTCTCTACAGATCAATTTTGTAGCAATCTGTCAACATGCCCAAATTTGGTTCATCTGAACATTATGTGTGTGTTTTGTATTAACCTGTACGAATTATTATAATCTGACCTTTTTTGCCTTTTTGTTGCACCTGTTTTTGTAGATAAATTTTGAATTCCTAATTCCTGAAAATGCACTCTTGCTCACACACATTTTTCAAAGGAGCAATTTTAATTTCCTACAACATTTACAGGACTCCATTTACCAAGGGGACAAGAAAAAGAGTTAAGAAATAGCGTGAGAAAGTTTGTTAATAGTATATTAAAAATGATTTGGTGGATTGTGTACTAAAATATCTTAGTCGCTTCATTCCAATAATTTGATTATAAATACGATTTGGTGATTGTATATATTTGTACTTATGCATTGTAGACATTTGAGGGTTGCTCTTATTTTGGTATTTGTTACAACGCTAGTGTTTTTATGCATGAAAATTATAAAGCAAGATAGATTGGCCCGGAAGAAGAAGCGAAGAATGCTACTTCCATTATCTATTTAGAAATCAATTAAGTGAAAACTCTTTTGTAATCATGTAGCTTGTGAGAATCCTTCGCAATTACTTTTATGGCACAAATTTTATTTGTTTTAGATGGTTAGTTTCTCTTCGTCTTTGACATGTTTGATTGGCATAGAACAAAATTTGATTGTTTGATTAGATTTTGATTATGAGGATTTTAAATGTCAACTTCTTAGGACAATTATCCTTCTTGTTCTAACATATGTAACCTTTATATCTACATCTGGTATACATAGCATAAGTAAAAGAAATGATATTACTAAAACAATATTAGCAACTTCTGTATGATGTAACGGGATATCTAAGTTATCATCTAATGGTGCAATACCGGTATCAAAAATTAGTGTTCCATTTACATTATCATTTGAGATAATTTGCACTTGATCAACATCATCATTTTGTACATTTTAGTGAACTTCCGTCTCGACAAACGAAGGATTTTGGAAATTTATATCCCTACCATGTTAAGAATTGGAAACTTGGTTTCCCAAATAGTAACACATATAGTTGTTTTCTTATGGACTGATATGTATCGTTTTATCTTCGCGTATTTCGATCGGAGGTATATTCATGTTTGAGAATTTGAATTTCAATTCAATTTGAGTGCGATGATCAAGAATATCAAGTTTGTTCTTCAATCGTAACACAAGTCCGGCTAGAGTGATACTTGTTAGAACTACAATTAAAATGATTTTGTCCTCTTTCCACTTCAACTCGTCATCTTCATGAAAAAAAATTTCTTATGCGATACGATGAATATCAAATAATTACTCATACCCGAAAATTGTTTGCGATTGCAATGGTAAGAATTCTTCACAATCAATATGTCGGTAAAGTGGCACATTCGAAAATTTAAATTCATACAATAGCAAATTGTTAAAATTGATAGTTGAAATATCTTTCCCGACATTTTTCAAATGTCGAATTCGACAGTTGAACTGTTGGAACTGATGGCAAGGTTTTAATGAGTATGTGATTGGAACAAATTCTTGGTAACTTTAACTGTGGTCATTAATATTGTATTATTAAATGACAAATCTTCTTCCTAGATAATTACCATAGTGAATCATTAAAGAGATAGTCATTCCAAACATTTATTGGATTTAATTGAAAAAAAAAATTCAAAATATTAATGGTTATAATCAATTATCAACTACAACGTAACATCTTCCCAAATAAATAATTCAACGCTTCATTAAATATATAATCCTTTACAATATTTTGTAGAGGATTTTGATATCTTTATTATAAAAGATTTGAAAAATCAAACAAATCAATGAATAATAATTTCGAAAATTTCGAATAAATATGACCATATAGTATATAACATTTCAAAATTAGTAAGTTATAAAATAATAATTTAAACAATTTATGATATGCCAACTTCTCAAAATGAAAGATGAATTAAATGGTAATTTTTTTCTAAATGAAGGAATGGAGGAGATGTTAACAAACAAATGTTTGTTAATGGTAGAAGAAATTAGTTTATGTTTGCTTTTTAAATTTATTTTCTTTTTTTATTAAAAAATTCATATTATTCAATATAATATACACATATTATTCAATGTTTATTCAACAGCCAAGAAATACAAAAATTACTGTATGTAAACCACGATCCACGAAATTTCAGTGGCATTATTGCAATTTCTTCAAAATGCAGGCCCGTAACCATACACCAATTTTTCTTAGTTCGCGCCTCTTTCCCTTTCCCGCCCTCGTCTTACCATCCCCAACTCAGTATATTAGTATCACAGATACAGACACCTATGGATACACAATAATTTATGCACACTATCAAATCCAGCAGTGTAGAAGAAAAAGATGTTCTATTCTCATACATTTTTGGCGAGGAAGGGCCCGCTGGGAACGGTATGGTGTGCCGCTCATCTGCAGCACAAACTCAAGAAGTCCCATTACATCTCCACCAATATCCTCTCCACTGTCGGTCTGTATTTACACCTTTTCATCAAAAAATACAATTTTGATTTCTGGGTTACGATTGAAATTCTAAAAAAAGATTGTTTTTTTCTCTCTCGGTCTGTATGGAATGCCGCTGCGGTTTATTGTTTTATTAATTTTTATCTATCTATATATATCATGGGCTATGTGAAAATCCTTGATTCTAAACTTTAGGTTCTATTTTTTATTTTGTTTTGTTTATTTTATTCGTTTTTTAGTGTCGTTTTTTTCAATTTTATTAACTCTACAATTCAAGGGGTTTTCCCCCCAGTGTTTGAATAGATGAGGTCTATAAGTATACATTTCAATTGAAAAATGAAACTGGGATTGTGGGGTTTGATTAAATTTCTGTCATTGAAAAAAATTGTTCTTAATCGTTGGTCTATCTGGAATGCTGGGGGTGAGTTTTTTGTTTTATCTTTTAATCTAAATATATCACAGATATTTCGAAAATGTTGATTAGTTTATTAAAGTTCTATTTTTCTTTCAGCGTTGAACAAATTGTACAACTGTACATAACCTTTTTTCCTTAATGTTCTGATACAATTATAAAGATTACGCATTTTTGGGATCTTTTGAGTTATTGAGAAATTGATTTCTCCTTATGATGATTTCCATATGCTTAGTATCTTCTTAATTTCTAAACTTAAAATAATCTAATTTGACGTTTTATGCATTTTCTCCCCAATTTAGGCAATCTGATGTGAATATAGTTACAAAGATCATATTTTTGGATGATAGCAATATTTATTACTTCAATCTGTCAAGATTACAATTTTCCATTAATTTATGGTACAAATATACCTAAACATTATTCGCGCCAACAATTGAAATTTAGAAATACATTGATATTTTCTCATATTTAGCTATGGATCTTGTCATTTCATTATTGTTTGATGTGGTCCATATGTTTCCAATTGCACCATGTCACATTTTGGGTGGTCAATACGAAACCATATGTGCCCCTTTTTGGCTGCATTTTAGTATTATTTTTGGAGAAAATATATTTTGGAATAATATTTATTTTTTTGGACAACATGTGGTTAAAAGATAAGGAAAAGTTTTGAGTTTACGTGTAATATTATTTTACGGAAGAATGTGTAGTAAAAAACGAGTCTTGGAAAAATGTTTTTTGGAAATAATGGAGTATATCACAAAAGTTTGAGAAAGATCGCTTTTTGTGTTTATACTTCTACCAAGAGGCTGCTGTAAGTTTAATACTTCTTAGTTACAATGTGAATTCATTGCTTTTCATCCTCTCATCTATTTTACATCTGCTTAAGCTCTACCCGATTCACTGCCTATGTGCCCTTTACGCCTAGTCTTTCCGA